AAGAGGGCAGAGCTGAGCTGAAAGCAGACATTCTCACACTAAATGTATTTATTCCATCTCATTCTTGTATGAACCATCTTTTGTATAAAACAAGTATATTTTATTATTTCCCACATTCTCCACACATGTTCACTTTACATCCTCTGTGAGTCCTCTCAGACCACACAGAGTGAAATCCAGAGAAGGACTACCCTGTATTCCTTCTAATAAAATATTCTTGTATAAATGATTTTTTTCCTACTAATGTTTACACCATGTTTGAAAGACTTGCCACACTCACACTGATAGGGCTGACCTTCTGCTAATTTCCTGACAAGCTGCAAAAGTTCAATGTCCTGCAGGTTTTCCTATGATCGTGACCTTCATAAAGGTGTCTTCCCTTCATTGTCTTCCTAATGATTAACTGTGGGTTATAGCTCAAGTCTTCAACCCAAGAGTCACATACATGGTAATGCTTTCTTGAACGACACTGAGGGATCGCTTAAAGTCTGAGCTCTATCTGATACTTCCCCAATTTCCATACTTTCACAGCATCTTTCTAGAATGCTTCCTTGAGGATGAATGTCATTTCCCTTAAGCGGATTTCCAGTTTCTCCTCTACTTCATCAACACTGCCTACACTGCTAGTCCTTTTGTTAATATGATGAGTTGGAGTCTTACATTAATGCCCAGTTTTGCATTTAGGCTCAGTTTTCTGCATTAAAGAGAGCCAAAGCCATGCCAGTGTTGAAGAAAGTGACTGCTGCAGGTGACAGGTGGCTTATCGAGCAGTAAAGCACTCAATTCTAGATGCGTACATGCTTACCATTCCACATTTTTATGTGCTGCCAACCTTCCGAGCTCCAGACCAGTGCATGCAACTGGCTTCGCAAAACCTCTCTTGGATATTTCTCAGGTCCCCTCATTCATGCTTTGTTAACAGAACATACGTGTGATAGTTCAATAAACTCTTGAACCTAGATGAAAGCTCTAAGAGAGTTCCTTGTACTAGTCTTGTAATTTTAAAATTGTTTCAAAAAAGTTTTAAAAAAAAAAACACAAACACTCTATACTTCTGTCCTTCAAAAATGCCTGTTCCTTCACCAGTCCTCCACATTTCATTGGCTGATGTCAAAAATCCAAGGGTAATTTTTCTTCTTCATTGTATTTTTAAAAGAGATAATAAAATATACAAGTATGCAGTAAACACATTACAGTCATAGGCAGTTCCTTGAAGCCTTCATTTCAATTACAACCTGGAAGACTTGGCAGCTTCCTCTCCTCCAGCCCTGACGAGCCTACCTTCATGCTTCTCACTTCTCCTTATCCCTACTGCTACTCTCCCAGGAGTAGCAACAGCCTCTGCCTGCTTCCATTCTTGCCCCACCACAGGTCTTTCTCTGCAAGCACCTGGAAAAGTCAAGTCACACCCCTGGCTTGAAACTGGCTTCCCATTTGCACCCAGAATTATACTCCCCTCACAGTTCAAGGGGCCCTATGTGATCTGCTGTGCCCACCTTTCCAAATTAACTCCCACATCTCTACACCTCAGTTACCTTGTCCTAGCCCACTGGGTGACTTTCCATTTTCCAAATGTTCCAAGCTCATTTCCATCTCACGGTCACCCCAAATACTGTGTCTCTTTTGCCCAGAAGCTCTACCACTCTTATGTGTCTAGGGAGATGATTTTTCCTTCAGGAATTGGCTTAAATGTCACCCTGTCACCTGACCATCTCCTCTAATTTCCCACTGCTCCTTCTCTGTACACCTTGTTCTTCTTCTCAGTACTTACAACTTATCATTACATCTGTGTGTCTTGTTTGTAAAAGGCCGCTATCTATAGATTATGATTTCTATGATGACAAAGAATACGCTAGATCTTTAGTTTATCTGACTCATAGTGACCCTATAGGACAGAGTAGAACTGCCTCATTACTTCCAAGGCTGTAATCTTTACGGAAGCTGAATGCCACATCTTCTGTGGAACTGCTGAGTGAGTTCAAATCACTGACCTTTCCGTCAGCAGCTGAGTGCTTAACCACTGTACCATCAGGGTTCCTTTATTATCATATAGCCAGTATTTAGTATGCTGCATGACACAGTAAATATTTGTGAGATGAAAGGTGATGGAGTGGAGGAAAAACATCACATGAAGGATATCCTGGGAAAGCAGAGATTAAGCCGGCACTAAGCACCTCATGCCCAGCCTGTGGAGAGAGAATACTGATAAGCTTCCCTGCATGAAGCCTCTCACTCTGGAACACCCCAAATCTCTGGAGTAGGTCTCTCTCGAGAACCACAGCATTAACCCACAGTGCTTCCCATGACAGCTAGATTCAAGGAACTACTAGGTCATGCAGGAGATGTGCACAGTCAGCAGACAGCAAGTTTGCTCATGCAGGAATGGGACTTAAGGTCCAGGGAGTGTGAGATATGGACCCTCTGCACCCAGAGTACATCCAAAACCACAAAGGCAGGAAGGGACGTTAGGAGACTGGATCAAGGGAACAAAGGTACCCTTTGGACATAGACAACATACTCTCATTGTTAAAGACACTGCAGATGAAGCATAGTTTAGTGACTTGTGCTAAGAGTCAGTAAGCAGAGAGCTTTTCAATTAAGGGAATGAATGAATGAAAAGAATGAGGTGGAACATGTAAAACAAAAACAAAAAATAATGCTGAGCCAACAAGCTGAAACCCAGAGAAACTAGAAACAGGGTCCAAAAAAAAGGATGAGCCACAGAGACTCTGATTCCTCCATGTTGTGGTCAACAGAAGACCCACAAAAGATGGGGAGGCTGGTGTATATTTCACAGCTCAAATACTGCCCACAGTATTGAGTTTTCAATACCACCTGTACCACAGTACAGAGAACAAAGGAAAGGGAAAGCATCCAAAGTATTCTTTACAGAGCCAGCATATTGACGTAAAAGTTGACAAAACATGGCACACATGCAGAAAAAACAACAACAAAAAAAAAAACCCCACTCCAACCTAATTTATGAACATCAATCCAAAATCCTTAAAAACAGTCAATGGACTAGAACAACATTTTACAACATGGTGTTCATCATGTCACTGTGTTAGCCACTCAAAGCAGAAAATTCCTATGATTGCCTTGGAAGGCTCTGGAGGAGAAATGAAGGCTATTACTAATTTTCATTTATTAAAAAAGGATAGATGATTATTTCTTCATTTGGGTGAAAATCTATTTGAATCAAAAAAGAATCGAGCATAATGCATGTCAAAACCTAGAAACTTTCCCATTTAATGCAGAGATCCAACACCCACTCATCACACTCTTGGATTCACATGTTTACAAGCTGAACCAAATTACACGATTGCCCAAAAGAAGTAAAAAAATACTAGGACACCTGCGTCTTGCTTTGTATTTGTTGGTGAAATGACTCCGGACTGAGAAAATTCATGACTGTTATAGATAAGAGGAGGATTCAGCAGCGTGACTGGTTCATCTGCAATAACCCAACCAAGCAGATGCACAGCAATGGTAACGAAAGCTGAATGGTGCTAGGAAGGCCCAAAAGAGCACAGGAAGTGAGTAGCTCAAACAGATCCCTCCTTGAATATTGGTGCCAAAAACTGACAGACAGATCGATACTCCACCAGGTAATTTCTAAATCCAATCACTGTACAGAAACAATACCTAAAACAATAAGGTATTTACTCACAGACAAAGATAAGAGAATAAAAGGAAGAATCCAGAAGGGACCAGAGCATGATGACTATGGGAATTCAGTCCACAGCAAAGACGGGGTTTTCCCATAGGGAAGGAAGGATCCAGTCAGAAAATGGTGTTGAAAGTACTTGTGCCCAACACCATATAAAAGAGTAAATTCCAGAAAAACTAAATAAAAGACAAATGAAAAAAAATACTACAATACAGGAAAATATTTGTACGGTCTACCTATACATGATATGAAAGTTAGACTTCACAAACAAATAAAAACAGATTTGGGAAAAAACAATCCCCAAATGATAAAACTTCTGAATGGTAAGAGATTACCTTAAAAAAGGTCAAAAAGCAAACATGTTGTCCTAGGATATAATATCTGCAATATTAATATCTAGAATACATCAAGTTCCCACAAATTGGGGGAAAAAAGACACACTGACAGGAAAAAAACAGGGAAAGGATATGAACTCACAAAAGACAAAATACAAACAGCCCCTAAATTTATGAAAATACACTCAACTTTATCAGTAGTGAGAGAAATGCAAAATAAATTGGTGAAATGTGAAACATCTTTTGCCCATCCTATCTGCAATCCTTTAAAAGATCATTATGAATTACCAGTGATGAATGTGGAGAATTTCTCACGTACTTGAGTAGATATATATTTTTAAAGATTTTAGCAGGCAATTGTTCCTACCAGATTTTTAAATTACACATTGATTCTGCTGTTCCGTTTCTAGAAGTCCACTCTACAGAAAAACCCAACTCCTGTGTGCAATGAAACATATGCAAGGAAGTCCTCGCCACCCAGATATATAAAACTGGCAACGATTTGTACGTTCATCAAGAGGAAAAGATAAATGCTCCCAAAAGATAAACGTATGTTCATGTACGCATACATAAACCAAAAAAAAAAAAAAAAAAAACCAAACCCGTTGCTGCCCAGTCAATTTCTACTCATAACAACCCTAAATAAACACATATAAAAAGGTCTGACAAGAGACGCACATCACACAGGTAATGGTGATTACTTGAGGGAAGTGTGTAGAGTCTGGAAGAGGCGTGGTGATGGAGCCTCCCACTGTTACCGTATATTCCAACTGCCACCTACACCAGGTTTAACTTTCACGTGCAAGTAGGACACCCTGGAATGTGAAGCAGGAGGAAAACATGATACTGCATATCCACATTGATTTTGCATGTCTGCAGTAGCTCAACACGGTATCTCACCTGAGGTCTCTGCCTACCTTCTTTTCCAAAACATCAGACCCTGACTGACCAGTCAACCCATTACCTGCAGGGAATCCCATTTGCCTGGTTCTCACCTGGAAAGGTGTCTTGAGGAATTTCTCTCTCCTTCAGCCACAGCTCTTCCGCCTCCTCTAACTGAGACACCACATCTGGTTTGGAAAGCTGATGTTCTGCTCAAGGGAAAAGAGACAGGGCTTGGGGGTCTGTGTTCGGGAGAAAATGCTGGCCCGCTGTGGCACACACTATCCCCCACCCTGGCCTTCTCCCTGCTATGCAGTGACTTCTGGTCTAGGGCAGTGACAACCTCATTCTCTGTGCCAGATGCTTGCTTCCCCAGAGTCCTTTGTAGTTAGGGACAGCTGTGAGACCCACTTTTGGCCAACGATACAGAAAGGAAGGTCAGCTGGGGACCTTTGGGGAAAGTTTTTGCTTTCTTGACGAATGTGACAGCTTGACAAATGTGAAATGAGGTTTGGCCAGGGCTAGTTGCTCTCCTTTTCCCTACCTTGAATACAGATATGACACCTGAAACTGCAAGTATGCAGGCCTGAGGATGAAAAGGAACATGCTAATCATAAACAAATGTTAAGGAACTGGGATCCTTGATACTCCGAAGCTGCTGGACACTGACTCCACCTCTATGGATTTTTTGTTAGGAAAACAAACGTCTCTCACGGAGGCTGAAAACATCCCCAATAGAGCCGTCTTCTGGCCTTGGGAGGCTCTGAGGGATGGCCTAGGTGAAACTTCAGAAGTAGTAACACAAAGTTGCCCATTCCCTACAGGTGCAAAGCCAAGCCTTCTAGCTCGGGGTCCAGGGCCCAAACATGTCCACTCTGGTCCCTGCAGCCTTATCCCAAACACAGACACACACCTCAGAGGCACCACAGTTGTACTTCAAAGCATGATCTTTATTGACATGGGGACACCAGCCTTACCCACTGAGACCAGGTTCCGGTAGTTCTCCAGCATCACCTCCCTGTACAGGGTCTTCTGCATGGGATCCAGCAGTTCCCACTCCTCCGGGGTAAAACCCAAGGTCACATCTTCAAAGGTCACTGGTTCCTAAGACCCACAAGTTCCTGTTCAGCCAGGGCCAGTCCTCACCCACATTAGCAGGAAAGGGGAGGCTGACCAGGCCCAGGATGCACAGGATGGTCTACAATGTGACCTGAGAATTCAGGGTTCTGGAAGATCCAAGTCCCATCTGGTTCCTGCCTTTATTTGGAAACCAAGCAAGCTCAAGCTTGACCCTGTTCAGGTCACAACAAGGACAACATTTGAGGCAGGAAAGGGTGCCTTCCTCCACCAAAAACGTGCCATTTCTTATTAACCTTCCACACTTTGGGATTGGTGCAGTTAAGCCTCCCACAGGGGAATTCCCTCAGCAGAATCATCACACACATTTCAGCCTTCAATCCCCACCCATGACACCTGCTGCTTCTCTCTCCTTCCCTGTGAGGAATCCACCCTCACTTCTCTTCTCCTTGCAACTGAGCTGAGCTCACTCTCCCTGTCACTTGATGCTAAAGAAACTAATGAAATCTAAACACCAACCTAATCCCTGCTCAGACCTCTCAGCTTAAAGGATAAATTGAAGAGCCCCAACCTGACCCTCAAAACCCTCCATAACTTGGCCTCTGGTCTAACCACCCCCTTGGAAAACTAAAAATCTGCTTTTCCTCTATCAAGGTGACGTCTCTCATGCCCAGCCAGCCCCTCCTTCTTCCCGAGGTGTCTTGGGGCCCGGGGACCCACAGCCGTGTAGAGGCGGAGTCAAGCTCAAGGAAACCTATACTTACCTCAGACCAGGCCTTTGGGACCCGGGGACCCACCCCGTGTAGAGGCAGAGTCAAGCTCAAGGAAACCTATACTTACCCAGCCAGGCCTTTGGGACCCGGGGACCCACCCCCGTGTAGAGGCAGAGTCAAGCTCAAGGAAACCTCTACTTACCCCAGCCAGGCCTTTGGGACCCGGGGACCCACCCCCGTGTAGAGGCAGATTCAAGCTCAAGGAAACCTCTACTTACCCCAGACCAGGCCTTTGGGAGCCCAGAGACTATTCTTTCCTCACTCCTCAGCATGTCTCTCGTGGGGGTGGGCAATATCCTGAGAATACCGATACTGGAAAGGGGGTAACAGACGTGAGCGATGAGTCGCCGTCCTCTGCCCGAAAAAGGCTCCATCAGCGAGCGGGAAGTGGCAAATCCACTCCCGCCCTCGGAAAACGCTCGGAGCAGGTCACCTCCCTCTCACCCGCCACGCCCAGAGAAGGTGGGGCCCGAACTGTACCCCACGCCCGGAGGGGGTCGGTTCTCCCCCGTTCACCTCAACGTCTGGAGGAAGTCGGATCCCTCCCTATCCCACCAAGCCCGGAGGGCGCGGTCTTTCTCCGTGGTCCCACGTCCCTGACCATGCCGCCCCTGCCGTGGGATGATGGCAGGCGAAGCCTGGCCCCAGCCCGGTGGAGGTGGGATCGAGGCATGACCTGACCTAGCCGAAGGGCTCCGGACGCTAACGACTTTGCCTAGCTAGCCCCGCGCGCCCCCCGACGGGCGTGAACTCCACGCCGCACTCACCCGCGCCCGCGCCATACAATGGCGCCCGGTGGCCCGCGGCGAAGTGCGTCAGCGCGCCGGCCCGGACTACAAATCCCAGACGCCCCCGCGGCGCGCCACGCCCGACCTCGCCCAAACGGCGGCCATCTTGACCGGCCCCCTCGGGGCAGCGGGCGAGGACGGAGCCGGCAAAGAGGGTCATCAACGGAGTTTTTCGGCGGCTCAGCTGGTCAGGGGAGGCCTCGGGTAGGGTTAGCTAGGCCATGGGGTTCCAACACCTGCGTAGGTCTGCGACTCAGGCTGGAAGAGGGTCGTACCCGCCACGAGGTCAATCACGCGTAGGGCGGAACAGACGAGAGGCGGGCAGGAAGTGCTGGTGTCAGTTAAGTCGGGGTAGTGTTGTGGGGGTTAGGACTAATAATTACTCTCCCGGGAGGGGAGGGGTGGGCCGGCCCGGAAGCGTGGGGGGGGCGGGGCTAACTTTTCCCTGCAATGAAAAAGAGAGGGGCGGGATAGGCAGGCCAGAAGGGTACAGTGGGTGGGACTAAAGGTCACCTAAATTTGGTGAAAGGGAGAACCCACTTGATGGACCCGCAGAGTGCAAGGAGGTGAGGCTAGATGCCCACCCGTGTCCAATAGAGAGAGGAAGAAGGGGCGGGAAGTGTGCAGGGGGAGGGACTAAAGTCCACCCAAGTTCTGGGGAGGGGACCCAAGTTCTGGGGAAGGGAGGAGGGGTGAGGCGGAATTGTGCAGAGCTAAATGTACAGTCATGCGTCACTTAACGTCCATTATACTTCTGTGAAGTAGGACGCTTTGTGATTTGGACGTTGTACAAGCACCATTATCATATACAGGCAGCCGCGGGGTTGCAAATGTCCGATTTATGTACAACACGTAGTTAGGAACCAATCCCCATAAAGTCTGTTTTATTACCTTATGGAACCCGCTTTCGGTTGTCATTGTCGCTGCCAGGTGTCCTTGGTTTATTGATTTCTACCTGGTGGCTCCAGAAAGGATTCAAAGCGAGGTGGAGGTGGGGGGTTCCAGCATCTCCCGCTGCCCAGATTGCAAAAGCTGTGGCGCGCACATGTTAAGGCAGGGCCACCATCTCCTGGGGAGGGACTTCGTAGGCGTGAACTATAGGGTGGGACCTCCAGGGTTTGTCCTGGGCCTGGTCGTAAATCATGGAGTGACAGCTGCCTTCCCAAGCCGAAGAAGGCGGCTGCGTTGGCACAGACTGTGACCTGGAGTTCATGGGTTCACCTCTCATAGACAGAGGTGGGGGCTGTGCCATCAGTCCGCTCCCTCATTGGGTCACTAACCATCAGTGCCCTGGTGAGCCCGGAAGGGTTTGACCAAAGTGAATCATGCAGTGACCAGGGCTGGAGCAGTTGGCCAGGATGGCCTCTGCTTGCACTGTGTATGCTCGCACAGCTTGGGGGGTCTGCATGGGCCTTGGCGAGGGCTGGAGCACCTCCGGGAATTGGGTCCCACAGGGTGAGTCCGGACAGGCAGGGAGGGGCATCCAGGCTGAGGAGAGAAGCTGGGGGTGTGATGTTCAGGAGTCCCAGTCTTGAGATTCTAAGGCCAAGAAGAGCCACACGCTTGGCCCCTCGGCCCCATCCTGGTGCAGAGGGGTGGGGGCCATCAGGAGACACCTGCTTGTGTCCCTGATATTCTAGCCCCTGCCCCACTCTATCCTGCCCTCCTCATCTGAATGTTAGTCAGCTCCAATTCTAACAAAGGGTGGCCAGAGTGTGGCCCATGTACATAGCCACTTGGGTTGTGTGGGCTACCTGCTTATTTCCCCTGGGAGGCATAAGTTTCTTTGCCTTTAGGGATAAGCTACAGCAAGCTGTTTAGGAAGTGGACTGAGAGGAAGTGAGCAAAGATGGAGCGGAATGCACCCAGCCCTGCCTGCTATACCACCCACCTGAGGAGCAGGAGCAGCCCAGGCCCCACAGCCCCTGCCACTGTCCTGCTTGCTGGACAAAGCCCAAGAGCCTGTCCCCAGAGCCATGTCCTCTGCCTCACCTGCCTGTATTGCATCCGTGGTCCAGTGCTACAAGAGTCTGGGCTTAGTGTCTTTAAAACCATTAAGGGGAAATAATAAAAAGAGAGCTGCTTTTCCTTAAAAAAAAAAAAAAAAAAAAAAAAACCTTATGGGACCAGGACATATATATGGTCAGATATTATGTGGCGCATGACTGTACACCCAAGTTTTAGAGAGGGAAGGAGAGGCAGGGTGGGGCGGAAGTGTATGGGGATGGGGTTAAATGTTCACCCATCTGAAATAGGAAGAAGAGGAGGGACAGAGTAGAGGGATAGGGGACAGGACTAAAGTCCACTCAACTTCCTGGAAGAGACAGAAGAGTCTTGGGGCACCGGAAATGTCCAGGGAGCTGGGCTAAAGGTCCACCGCAATTCTGGGGAGGGAGAGAAATGGACAGAAGTGTGAGAGGAAGGGGCTAAATGTCCCCCCAGTCCTATGAGGGGAAGGAGGGCCAGTCAGAAGTGTAGAAAAGGCAGGCCTAAATGTCAACCCTAGGTTCATTGGGTGTTCAGTGGTAGAAATCTTATCTTCCATGCAAGGAGGCCTGGGTTTAATTCCCAGCCAGTGCATCTCATGCGCAGCCACCACCCATCCCTCAGTGGAGGCTTTTATGTTGCTGTGATGCTGAGTCTCATCAGAGCTTCCAGACTAAGATGGACTAGGAGAATGACCTGGCAGTCTACTTCCGAAAACCAGCCAATGAAAACTCTATGGATCATGACAATCTGAGCCACAATAGATGTGAAGGACTGTTGGGTTGGGTTGTGCATGTGGTTGCCATGAGTCAGGGTGGGGGGTGGGGTGGGGGAGTGACATGACAGCAGGTAACAATATCAACCCAGGTTCTAGGGAGACTGGATAGTGCTAATTGACCCCCAGGCATGGGGGAGGAGGTGTGGGTTGGACGAGACCTTGTTACCAGTGACCTATGCCCAAGGGTCCTCTTGGGAGCTGAAGTGCTCAAGTCTAAGAAGGGGAAACAGAAGGCCATTGCTGCCTGGGACCTGGTGTGCTTTCCTACTCGGGAGCCCAGGACACAATATTATCTCATCTTCCTCAGGGCCCAGGGTCCAGTGTGGTCTTGTCTTTCTCACATGCTAGGGGCTGATATTCTCTCATCTTCCTTGGGGTCCCTAAGTGGTGCAAATGGTTTGTTCTTGACTACTAACCTAAAGGTTGGCAGTTCAGACCCAACCAGTGGTGCCACAGAAGAAAGGCTTGCGGATCTGCTTCCATAAGATGATAGCCAAGAAAACCCTATGGAGCAGTTCTCTGTATTAACACATGGGGTCAAGTTGTAATCAACTCATCGGCAACGGGTATACACCATATACCACGATTTCCCAAAATATAGACTCTTGGGATTATTTACTACTGCTATTCTTTGATCCTTTTCCTGTTCTCCGCAACATCAAAATAAGGTTACATAATATCGATATAATCCAGACCTGACGTGGCACACAAAAGAATCCGTGCTCTCAGCAGAGGCTGGCCACAAAAGGCATTTAGAAAACTCTGTCTCAAAGAGGAATGGAAGAAGTTACACAGAATGCAGGACAAAACAGGTTTGGAAGAATCTGGTTAATACCTATGTATGTTTGGTTGCAAATAACTGAAAACTCTTATGACAAAAGTTTAGAGCTGACAGTCTGCAGGTGGTTTCTGGTACTCTTTCTCGCTTGCTCTAAGTGTGGAGGTGTCTTGTCCTTCAGTGCTGGGACATGGACAAGGAACAAGCCACATGCATCCAGCTGGTCTCTGGGCAGCAGTATTCAACATAGTTGCCTTCCTTAAGCTGAACATAATCTATCTAAATGTTTTCTCTGCTTTAGGAAGTTGACACTTTCTGATGAAAATCAATCCCCACTCTGTGTCTTGAATCTTTCTGTTGTTTATGCCTCCATTCAACAACCATGAATGTATATTGTAGTCTGCTAGTCATTGTACTAGAAACTTGGGATACACATCCAAAACAGAAGGAAATCTTCTCTCAGCAATCTTAATTTTAAAATTTCTAGACGTCTTGCCATCACAAATATGATATGAAACAGACCTAAGTAAAGATGTGAAACAGAGCTAAGTGTTATAACTATTAGAAAAGAAAATGTAAACATGCAATTATTAACAGACAACATTAGTGTACTTAAAAAACCCAACTGGGGAAAAAAACCAAATTTTTCTTATTGTAAATGTAATACATGCTTTACAAGTATAATACAGAACAAAAATTACATTAAAATGTAAGAAAAATGAAAAAAAAACCCAATTAGAAATTTTTTTAACTAAAAGAGATTGCAGGAAACCAGGCAGAATAAGAAATACACATAAATCAACATACGTGTACGTACGCACAGAACTTTATAACAGTTAACGAATATATTAAAAAGATTTCTTTCACAATATAAACATAAAAATATAAAATGCTTGGGATCAGTTTGCTGGGAAGTGCAGGAAAACTTACGTGAAGATAAGTTTCCAGAAAGAATTAAAAGTAAACTTGAATAAATGAAGACGCCATGTTCCAGGATGGGAAAGCCAATGTGTAAATGGTCAGTTCTTCCAAAATTCATGAATAAGCTCAATACATGAACAAATGGAATAACAACGAGGCCTTCTGTGAGGGTTTGGCCCTTGTGCTTTGTCCTCAAAATGTGAAGGAAGGGACTGACTGATTTCTTCACAAGAACAATCAAGTTGGATTCAAACTCATTAAGGAGAAATGCCCCCAGAAACAACTAGTTGAAAAACGTTCTTTGTTTTTTGTCAAGAAATTTAGACATCAAAGCCACTAGCATAAAGTTATAATCATGGGACTTTTTTGGAGGGTGGAGGGCTCACTCTGGTTCAGCAAGTTGGCAAAATTTATTTTTAATTGGACGCATGGTTTATTGCTAGC